ATGTTCCAGCCTTTCCTCTGCAACCATGCTCTAGTGGACTTGGAGGTATGCTTGGGATCATTGTCCTGTTGAAAGGTCCAACGTCTCCCAAGCCTCAGGTGTGTGACGGACTGCATCACGTTTCCATCCAATATCTCCTGGTACTGAAGAGAATTCATGGTACCTTGCACACGCTGAAGCTTCCCTGTACCTGCAGAAGCAAAACAGCCCCAAAGCATGATTGACCCTCCACCATGCTTCACAGTAGGCAAGGTGTTCTTTTCATCATAGGCCTTGTTCTTCCTCCTCCAAACATAGCGTTGATCCATGGGCCCAAACAGTTCTAATTTTGTTTCATCAGTCCACAGAACACTATCCCACAACTTTTGTGGTTTGTCCACATGGCTTTTGGCATACTGCAGTCGACTCTTCTTATTCTTTGGAGACAGCAAGGGGGTACGCCTGGGAGTTCTGGCACGGAGGCCTTCATTACGCAGTGTGCGTCTTATTGTCTGGGCTGAAACTTCTGTACCCACATCTGACAAATCTTTTCTCAGTTCCTCAGCAGTCACACGGGGACTTCTCTCCACTCTACGCTTCAGGTAGCGCACAGCAGTCGAAGTCAGCATCTTCTTTCTGCCACGACCAGTAGCGTTTCAACAGTGCCCTTTGCCTTGAATTTGCGAATGATGCTTCCTAAGGTGTCTCTTGGTATGTTTAACATCTTTGCAATCTTCTTATAGCCATTGCCCTTCCTGTGAAGAGAAATCACCTCATCTCTTGTCTTCCTGGACCATTCTCTTGCCTTCACCATGTTTGTAACCACCACCAGTAAATGTCTAGAAGGAGCTGAGTATCACAGTGATTTTAAAGCTGCCTAATTGGTGCTTATTATGCTTGATTGCTGCTCGGTGACATCCACAGGTGTTTTCAATACCTGATGGAAAGCACCTGTATGAACCTCTGTTCTTCAGAGTGGTGTCTTTAAGGGGTTGAATAATTGTGGCAATGAAGAAACCACATAAGAACCATTTACTACTGTATTACATAAACAATTGATGTCATTTTAGTTGCATTTGGGTATTACAACGTCCTTGTAGGATTTGATTCTGAATACAATTCCAAATGTACACTATAGTCCCTAAACCCCTTTACAGCATTGGGGGTTGAATAATATAGTGTTATCCTACGTGTCCATGCATATTACTTTAGTCTAGTATTATTATTATACAGGATTTATATAGCGCCAACAGTTTGCTCAGCGCTTTACAATACAACGGGAGACAATACAGCAACAATACAGTTCAATACAAGAGGGATAGGAGGACCCTGCTCCTCAGAGCTTGCAATCTAGGGGGGGAGGGGCTAGTGGTACAAAAGGTAGTAACTGTTGGGGATGGACTGGTAGGAAGAGTAGAAGATTCCATTATTAGCTGCCGGCAGGATAGGCTTCCCTGAAGAGATAGGTTTTCAGAGATCGCCTAAAAGTGAGCAGAGTAGGCGATAGTCTGATAAATTGGGGTAGAGAGTTCCAGAGGATGGGGGAAGCTCTGGAGAAGTCCTGGAGACGAGCATGGGAGGAGGAGACGACAAGGGAGCTAGAGAGCAGGAGGTCGTGCGAGGAGCGGAGAGTACTGAAGAGGGGATAGCTTGCAATTAGGTAGGCCAATGAGGAGGGAGTTACAACAGTCAAGGCGAGATAGAACAAGGGAGTGAATAAGTTGCTTAGTGGTTTCCGAGGTTAAGAACGGCCGTATCTTGGAGATGTTGCGGAGGTGAAGTCTACAAGATTTAGACAGCGATTGGATTTGGGACTGAAAAGACAGATGGGAGTCTAGGATTACACCTAGTACCCTGGCATGAGGGGAGGGACTGATGATTGTGTTATTGATCTTGATGGAGAAGTCAGGGGAGGGGGCATGGGCTGGAGGGAATACTAAGAGCTCAGTTTTGGAAAGATTGAGTTTGAGGAAGTGGAGTGACATCCATGCCGATATGTCACTTAATAGGTTTGTAATGCGAGAGGAGACTGAAGGGGTGAGGTGAGGGGTAGAAAGATAGATTTGTTTCATCAGCATAGAGATGGTACTTAAAGCCATGGGAGTTTATCAAGTGACCAAGGGAGGAGGTGTAGATGGAGAAGAGAAGGGGTCCAAGGACCGAACCAGGAGAGAGCAGAGTCTCGGTGACCAAGAGATTTTTGAGGAGGAGGGGATGGTCAACCGTATCAAAAGCCGCAGAGAGGTCAAGTAGTAAGAGTATGGAGTAGTGGCCATTGGTTTTAGCAGTTAGTAGATCATTAGTAAGATTTAGTAGGGCAGTTTCAATGGAGTGTAGTGAGCGAAAGCAGACTGTAAAGGGTCAAGAAGGTTGTTGTCAGTGAGGTAGGAGCTCAGGCGATTGTAGACTAAGCATTCTAGGAGATTAGAGGTAAATGGCAGCAGGGAGATGGGTCTTAAGTTGTTCATGTTGGTGGGATCCAGGGAGGACTTTTTAAGTATAGGAGTGATGTGTGCGTGCTTTAGAGGGGAGGGGAAGGCACCGTTAGAGAGGGAGAGATTGAAGATGTGAGTGAGGGAGCATAGGATGGAAGAAGAGGGTGACTGTAGTAGTTGTGAGGGGACAGGATCCAGGGGGCAGGTAGTGAGACGGGCTTCTGAGTAAACCTTAGTGACCTCTTCGGTAGTAGCAAGGTCAAAAGAGGAAAGTGTTGAGGGAGGTTTAGTATAAGGTATGCTGAGTGGGATGGATGCCTGTGCAGTAGAGGTGCCCCTACGAATTGCATTAATCTTGTTTTTGAAATGATTTGCAATCTCGTGAGCAGTGAGTGAGGTACTGGGTGGCGGTGAAGAAAGTAGAGAATTAAAAGTAGAGAAGAGACGACGAGGACTGGATGACAAGCTAGTGATGAGAGTGACAAAGTAGGCTTGTTTGGCAGCATGGAGGGAGGAATTGTATGTTAAGAAGGCAAATTTATACAGGGTGAAAGCTTTCTGAGATTTGGTTTTACGCCACAATCACTCCAGCGCACGACTATGTTGTTTAAGATTTCTGGTGTGGTTAGTCTACCAAGGTTGTAATGGTCGGGGCCTGATGCTTCATGTGGTTAGATGAGCAAGCGAGTCTAATGTGGAAGAAAGCAAACTGTTGTAGACAGCAGTGGCCAGGTCAGGGCAAGACAGGGGAGAGATTCTGTCATAGAGGCGGTCAGTTGCAAAGTGGAAAGGAGCAGGGTTCAAGTTGTGAAGTTTTCTGCGGGTAATTGTTTGCTGCTTGGATTGTTAAGTGTTTGAAGACGAGGACACTGTGAAGGTGATGAGATTGTGATCAGAGAGAGGAAAGGGGGTGTTTGTGAGGTTGTAGGGAGTGCAAAGACGGGAGAAAACAAGGTCTAATGTATTCCCATCAGAGTGAGTGGAGGACTGTATACACTGTGCTAATGCAAAAGATGAGGTTATGTTGAAGAGTTGGAATGTAGCCGGGTTGTTGACATTAAGGGGGATGTTAAAATCTCAGAGAATGATAGTGGGTAGTTCAGAGGAGAGAAAGTAGGGTAGCTAGGTGGAGAAATCATCAACAAAGAGGGACACCGGTCCAAGAGGCCGATAGATTACTGCAATCCTCAGAGAAATGGGAGAAAACAGCCGAATGCAGTGAGTCTCGAAAGAAGAGAAGGATAGAGAGGAAGGGTTGGGGAGGATTTGAAAGGTGCTCAGTGGGGATAGAAGCAAACCAACCCCACCTCCTTTCCGACCACTGGGTCTGGGTGAGTGGGTCCAGAGAAGGCCTCCATAGGAAAGTGCTGTGGGAGAAGAAGAATCTGCTGCTTGAAGCCAGGTTTCTGTAATTGCTAGTAGGTTAAGGGACAAAAAGGTCATGGACAGAGGTGAGCTTATAACAGACAGAGCGGGCATTCCAGAGCGCACATGAAAAAGGGAGGGTGGTTTTTGGGAGCACGGGGACTGATATTAAATTGAGGGGATCGTGGCTATTCCTGGAAGTAAGAGGTTGCCTGGTGTGGGGGTGAAATAGTGGAGGACCAGGGTTTGGGGAGATATCCCCAGAGGTTAGGAGAAGAAGAAGGGTGAGGAAAGTAACATGGATGTTTACATGGTCAGCTGGTGTTTGGGAGAGTAAGGTATCAGCATGAGATGATGAGAGCAGTAGTAGGGAGATGGTAGCAGTGAGCGTGAGATGTATAATTTTTGGGGTGGAGCAGAGGGGTAAAGAAATGAGATTTTGGGAACGCAGGATAGTAATATGAAAGGGAGGAGTAGAGGGGACATATTACAAAGGTACACGAAGTGGGACTCAGAATTGTAGGAGATGTTTCCCAGGGTGTTTGCTTCCAGTCTGTCCAGCGTGCAGTAGAGTGTCTTGCTGTTGTTGTATCTTGCTGCTGCTTGAGTTATCCTGCTTTAGTTAAACTGCTGTGTTCAACTGCACCTCCGCACTCCAACAAAAACTGCACTCACACAGAAAACTGCACTCCATCTGTGACTCTGCACCCCCGTCACTGATCTCCTCCCATGAGTTGATCTAAATTTATAGGGAGATGGTCAAATGAGCACTCTTCTCTGCCCCAATTAGGAACTGAGTAGCATTTTTCAAGCTTCAGCATTTAGAAGAAAAAAATAGTTTTTGTTGAGTTTTTGGGGGTGTTTTACTGGCAGAAAAAAAAATGCTAAATGCTCCTAAACGCTACTAAGATGCTCCTAACAGCTTTTTTCTAGTATTTTTTCCTACATGTACTGTAAAAACACTAATAATCGCTATGCACCTAATCACTCCTAAACACTTCTAAATGATACTAAAATGCTATTATCAGCTTTTTTTTAAGTTGAAAAAAAATCACAAATTAGTATAGATGTTGTGGTTTGCCCACTGTGCTCTTGATATACCTCACACTTTGCCATTCTTTTCCAGTATTTATACCAAGAAGTTAATCGCAAAGTTTGATGTTGTAGACAAGCTCCTCTTCTGTCATCTTGACATTACCAAGTGCCATAGCCAAACACAGGACCTTTTGCATCTGAAACATGATAGTGGACTTGACTTCATCAACCTTGGCCACAATGTTCTCATTGTGAGTCAACAAAGCAGGACATTTTCCTGCTTTATACACACCAGGCCCCAAAATACGAGGAATCTGCTTGGTAAGTGATTCAGAGGCCAAAAAGGCATCATACTTCTTAGCCAACTTCTTCCAAGCTTCTTGTTAAGTTTCTTAAGAGCCTCAATATCCATGTTGGGTAAATCCACAGCCTTAGCTTCATCACAGTGCTTTTGATCTCTCGAAATGCATGATGAGAATTTGGGCTTTGGTGTAGACTTTAGCCTGAGAGTGCCAGAGAAACGCTTGTCCTTTTGGAGGTCATAGTTTTTCAGGCTGATCTGAAGTTCCATGGATTGAAGAAACTTTCTCTTCTTCCTCCTTGCCCCCAGTAGAACCTCCCCCACAGCTTCACGGAGGCTATCACGAGACACTTTGCTGCTCATCGTACACAGCTCTCAGCGACTGGAAAGCATTATCGGCATTTTTTCTCCAGCATTTTCTCCAGCGTTTTTCAAGCTTAAAAAAAAAAAAAAGCTAGTGTGCATGGAGCCTAAAACAACTGTTCACATAAACTTCTGAAAAATCTTTCTTCAGAGCATTCATTGGTACCATCATTGAGTCAACTCATTTTGTTCGATGTTTAAAACTTTCAGCCAGACCTGCTACTGAACAGATTGTCAGATGTATTAAACGGGTTTTATTGCTTATGAAATCAAATAAAGAATAAAGTAAAGCAATGTTTATTTTAATTGATTGGTATATTGTATAATTATAAATACGTTAGCTATGAGCTTGGGTGTAGGGTTGAGCTCAGGCGTGTTCAGACACAAGTCCAAGCCCACCTGAATGGGAAGATTGATGGATAGCCAATGATAGGCAGGCAAGCATTCCCTGCCCCACAGCCACATGTATGCAGGGGGCAGGGAATGCCTCTGCCAACAATAATTGACTATCCGCCAATCTTACTGAGAGCATTTGACAGTCTGAGGGCGGAATAGAACAGGCGGGTTCAGACTCATGTCCAAACCCACCTGACCTCATCCTTACTTGGGTGTGTTCAGGCTAGGATCCGAACTCACATTTGCAAGTCTGCCTGTCACCTGTATGGGCCAATCATCTACGGCTAGGGCATTCCCCACGGCCACACAAGGGGCATGTATATGCACGGCTGCGGGCAGGGAATGCCTGGGCCATAGATGAGCGGCCCATACAGGTGACAGCTTCCCAGTGGGCTTGCAAACGTTGGCGACTCTTGTGCGATTCATTCTGTGAACTGGCCCTAAAAAAATTCTGATATACTCCTGTGAGGTTAAAGTGTGTGTCTATTAAAATATTAAATAGCATAGTACATGTACTTTCATTGTGTGCGAATGGGGCAAAAAAATCCGCCAAAACATATTAGGCTTTTTCCTCTGCAGGTTTAATGTTTTGCATTGATTTGAAATGCTGAATTTGACCACTAGACAGCACTAAGTATTATTCTTATGACACTTATGACTTGCTGGTGGGCACATTTGATATGTTTTGTCTTAAATCAATTAAAAATCAAGCAAAAAAAAAAAAAACTCTTGAAAAAGCATAATAATATTTTTTGGCCCATTTGCACAGAAAGAATGTACATGCACTTTCACTGGTGGAACTGCTATGTGAATTTTTTTATAAACAATCTTCAGCAGTGGAGCTAAATGGTGATCTTTGCACTGGAGGATTTTTTATCCTCCTAAATTAAAATGGATTGGTAGCTGTAGCTTTCAGAAGAGCCAGGTCACTTTGTTTTTACCTCACATAACAAAAGCAAATTTTAGAAAATTTGTCCCTCTGTGAGCAACTACAAAAGCTATTAAAATGCTCTCCATATTGATTTGTCCAAGGGAAGAGACACTATATTGCCAAAAGTATTGGGATACCCCTCCAATTCATTAGATTCAGGTGTTCCAATCACCTCCATAGCCACATGTATATAAAATCAAGCACCTAGGCATGCAGACTGCTTCTACATATTTGTGAAAGAATGGGTTGCTCTCAGGAGCTCAATGAATTCCAGCCTGGTACTGTGATAGGTTGCCACCTGTGCAATAAGTCCATCTGTGAAATGTCCTCGCTACTAAATATTCCATAGTCAACTGTTAGTGGTATTTTAACAAAGTGGAAGTGACTGGGAACAACAGCAATTCAGCCACAAAGTGGTAGGCCACGTAAAATAACAGTCGCCAGCTGTCTGCAGAGTCAGTAGCTAAAGACTTCCAAACTCTGTGTGGCCTTCAGATTAGTACAACAACAGTACATAGAGAGCTTCATGGAATGGGTTTCCATGGCCGAGCAGCTGCATCTAAGCCACATATCAAAGAAGTGCAATGCAAAGCATCAGATGCAGTGGTGTAAAGCACGCCACCACTGGACTCTAGAGCAGTGGAGACGTGTTCTCTGGAGTGACGAATCACGGTTCTCTGTCTGACAATTCCATGGACATGTCTTGGTTTGGCGGTTGCCAGGAGAATACTGTAGTACTTGCCTGACTGCCTTGTGCCAAGTGTAAAGTTTGGTGGAGGGGGGATTATGGTGTGGGGTTGTTTTTCAAGAGTTGGGCTTGGCCCCTTAGTTCCAGTGAAGAAAACTCTTAAGGCATCAGCATACCAAGACATTTTGGACAATTTCATGCTCACAACTTTGTGGGAACAGTTTGGGGATGGCCCCTTTCTGTTCTAACATGACTGCGCACCAGTGCACAATGCAAGGTCCATAAAGACATGGATGAGCGAGTTTGGGGTGGAGGAACTTGACTGGCCTGCACAGAGTCCTGACCTCGACCCGATAGAGCACCTTTGAGATGAATTGGAGCGGAGACTGTGAGCCAGGCCTTCTCAACCGACATTAGTGCCTGACCTTCGGATTAGTTGAAATTTGTTACTATTGTGGTTCAGAGATTCGGATACACCCAAATCTCCAATAACAAAAATTTTGTCTGAATTTTGAATAGCAACAAAACCATTTGCACATGTCTACTATGGGACATGATCGTGCATTTTAGGCTCCATTAGGAGCACCTGAAATGCATTTAACACATGCTTCTCATGCAATTTCACACTTTACAACCATTTTCACATCCACGGGACTAGATTTCCATTGGCCAAAACAAAAATGCTTCAGCCTGAATAACGTGTGTACAAACACAGAGGGCGACCCAAACTAAATTGACACCTTCCACTCAAGGCTCCACCGGGTCTCCTTATGTAGCAAGCACTTAGAGTGCAGACAAGGACAGAGCTCATCCCAGCTCTAGACATCTAATGAAAAAGGGAGAAGTCCTGGAAGTCGCACATCTCTGCAAAACCCAGTAAGAAGGTGTATGATGGTGTATGACAGCCTCAGCCCGGTCTCCAACCAAGCCACGCCCCTAACATGTTTCACTTCACTTACGGAGCTTAGCCATGACTAAGCTCTGTGGGCAGAGTGTAACGCATTGGGGCGAGGCTCGGTTGGAGCCCAGGCCGTGGCTGTCGTACACCATTATACACCTTCTTACTGGGTTTTTCAGAGATGTGTGACTTCCAGGATTTCTTCAGTTTTCCATTACAAACACACACACATGCATAAAAGGCATGAAAAAAGGCCAAAGATGTCAGTTGTTATGTAGCCTTAAACTGCTATTTGTCTGGCTGTCATACTAATCTAATAGATTCAGTGCTTTCTGATATACTGACCAGAAAAATGTAGATCAGGAGTTCTGATTTTCCTTCTTGGATGTTTGCTAGGGGTCAATAACTCAGTATATGTTTCCTTTTATAAAAGTGATTTGGGGCAGCTGGTGCAATCAACACCTATGGGGGAAATCATTAAAGCAATACTGACAGCTTTATGGCACTACAGCCCTTTAAAATGGCCTACACCAGATCCAAAAACCCCACTGCTTGTTTCAATAAGTTTGCTGATACATGGATTCAGGCAGGTCTTTATAGAGCTATTTTTTTCAAAGTGGTATTATTAATGCACCAAATTTTAAAAGAATTACCTCCAGTTTGTAGATAAGGTAAATGGAGTTAATTAAGCCCTACTCTAAGTTGGTGTACTGAGATGGGCAAAGTGCCTGTCCCTGTACACAGTGTAGCAGAGCAGCATAGGTGCTGCCGCTACACTCTCCCTGTCACTGGCCGACAGCCTCCTAGCAGCCAGTACCGTTGCAGTGTGCAGTGCCTGATGGGGCAGCTGGGACACCAGTTTCCCATCAGGTCGACTCTCGTCTTGTAATTGATAGCAGGCAGATTCAATATCCAAAAGCAGGTTGTCTATTGGCTAAGGATCTGCCAGCTGTCAATCACAAGGAGAACAGACCTGATAGGGAACTAGTGTATGTGAATCCCCCCAGTACAAAACTACCCACCGCTGCACTGTCTGTAAGGACAATCTGGTTTCAATGTGCCTCCACACTTGGTGTGTGCCCCAGATTCAGTACCTACTTACAACAAGCAACAGGTACATGAATCTGTCATTTCTGTAGTGTGGAGGCACGTTGGAATTCTACAGAGTTCCCTAGACACTCTTTGTGAGTCCCCTGATAGTACTTTTCTTATAGCTTTGCTAATTTAGGGCATGGAAAATGCACTAATATTTACACCACATAACCGGCATATTTCTCCAACATATTGTTAATTTCCCCCAATATGTTTTAATTAGTTTAAATATTCCTAACTGCTTGGCTTTTAATTTCATAAATGTGAAATACCTGTAGGCCATTCTACAATCTAGCCAAATCCTTCTTTTTCTGTACTTTCTACGGACTGCATTTAATGCACACCTGAAAGTGATGAAGATTTAACAGCTTGTATTTTCCACTGAATGGAAGCAAAGTCAGCTCCCTCACATTTCTTAAAGGGGCTGTGATGATCTCTGCAGTATTTTCAAATGTCCTTTGTTTGGACTGCTTTGTCGTTATCACATTGTGCTTCACAACTGTCCTTTTTGTCTTTTATATTGATCAATTTAATTAGAAGCTGTATTCAACCATGCAGTGTTCCTGTTGCTGCATGTTATGATGTCCACCCTGTGGTCTGGTGTGTTAGCTGTGGTCAAACTAACATAAAGGAGCAGTCCAACTGGAGATTTGTTTATTTTTCTTACAGATGATCAGATTTAGGATGTGATTTTAATTTTTTTTAAGTGGTTTGTGTTTTTTTAGCATCTTTGTTTTTCTCTAAGGACTTATTCATACTTTGTATGGATGCTATAACAAACATCGCCATTCTTTTTCATCCCATCGCATGGCAATACTTGTCTTCCTTAATGCATACCTTTCAGTGAGAGGTTGGTGCACTTGTTTCTGTATACACGTTGAGGCGACATTAAAGATAATTGGAATAGCACCAGTACGTAAACATTACAAGCCACTGTATCAAAAGTGTACATAACATTGTTAATGCAGCCTTGTATGGTAGATTCATATCTAATC